TTTTCTCTATCGTTCCAAATATGGATGCACATGTAAAAATTTGTAACTTCTGCATGTATTTTTTATGTATTCTTCATTTCTCATTTTTAATGAGCTTGTTTTATGGCATTCAAAATTGTAATGTGTTTTGCATTGTTTGGAGGGATGCAGCTATTGAATTTATTGAAATCAATGTACAAGGTTGACAAACAAAATGGCAAATTGACCTAGAGATAAAAGGGATAAGACCAACAAGCATGTTCTAGGATAGATTTAAAATGTAACTAAATTTGCTAATGGATCAAGAGAGAAAGGGTATAGGACCAACAAGCATGTTGTTGGATAGATATACGGCAACTAAATTGGCCAACTGACCGAGCAAGGTGTTGGTACATACATGAAGGGTACTTTTATTAACAATCCTCTATCAAAACTACATAATCTTTTGATATTCTTTTGATATTCAAAATTAAACATCAAGAATTGCATATGAGGAAGAACCATGATACTCATTTGGATGATTTGAAATATTTTGTTGAAATTCTTTTTCATTTTCCTTCCCCAACTCATTATGTGCCACTTCTAGTAAAGAAATAGTTGCAAAAGGCTTTGTAAGTGGTTTTTTGCTAGCAAGAAACTGTTGTGACACTTCTTTCATTGTTGGCCTAGATTGGGGTTTTGCACGTAAGCAAGCAAATGCAAGAGTAGTAACCACCACAATATTCTGGGTAAGATTTTTGCTTCTTGGAGGTGACAAACGCACATCTAATATGTCACTTAGCATCACATGTTGCAAAGAAGATGGTGATGATAACAATGTCAGTAGCTCTCCAGGATGCATTCCCATCAGTACTTCTAATGCCACAACTCCAAAGCTATAAACATCACATTTCTCTGTCACAACCATAGTATAGGCAAGCTCTGCATAAACAAACCAAACACTTAACATGCTAATTTAACAATAGTAGAGAGTGAAATAACATAGCAGAAGAATGTTGAAGGAGAAAACCTGGAGCAATATAACCATGAGTGCCAGCAATCGCAGTATAATTGGATGAATCAGGATCTAAAAGCCTAGCATTTCCAAAGTCAGCAACAAAAGCCTCTAGTTCTGAATTCAAGAGAATGTTGTTGCTTGATATGTCTCGATGAAGGATGGGTGGGATACAGTCATGGTGAAGGTAAGACAAAGCATTTGCTGTGCTTTTGATGACATTCAACCTTTTGAACCAATCCAATTCCACAGCTTCATCATCATTTCTAAGGACACAAAACAAGCTTCCCCTTTCCATGTATTGATAGATCAAAAACATGTATCGCCTATGCAAACAGAACCCGTGAAGCCTCACAATATTCTTGTGTCTTATTTCTGTGAGCATCTTAACCTCATTCCTAAAACTCTTATCAAAAGCCGGTTCCTCTGCTTCTCTTCGATGAAGTTTCTTCAAAGCAACTACTTTGCCATTGGGCAATTGAGCTTTATAAACACTACCATAGCCACCTGTACCAATGCAATATTTCATGTCGAAATCCTCAGTTGCTTTAATAATGTCTTCATACGCAACCTTTCCATCAAAGTTCCATATTGAGAATATATCTCCATTTTTTGTTGGACTTGAATCTCCTTCATTAGCAAT